GGAACTATTAGAAATTAAACAGAATTGATTGTAAGAAGATAGAAAAATGTTAAGGAAGATTATTTAATAGAATGTAAGGGAAATGTTGAAAAAAAAAATTAAGCTTCTAAAATGAATGAATACAGTTGAATTATTATTAAGAATATAAACTTAAAGTTAATACAGAGGTTAATTAGGAGAAAAGGTCAAAAAAAATAGAGATTTTAAATATAATATGATTTAAATAATAAATGATTGATTAATTTGCGAGACTTAATCGAGAATAATAATTTAACTAAAAGACTTAAATTCTAAAATAAAATATAAAATTAATATAAATTTAAGTTTTAAAATTGAATATTATCATAAATAAAAAAAAATGGAGAAATGAGTAATACAATTATTTCAAATGGTTTAATTAAATAGATTAAACTTAGAGCAGTTGGTTCAATGATTTTGAGAAGTGGGTTTCCTATAATAAAATTAATTTATAAGCGTTTCATTAATTAGGAAACGTAATCTTAAATAAACTAGAACAACTAAAAGAAAAATTAACAAATCATTTATGATTATTTGTAAAGGACAAGTTACTTTATCCAAATTTGGATGGGAAAATGTAAAAGTAGATTAAGGATCTAAAGATCATTGCTTTCAGGAAATCCATTACAAAATAATAACTTTGTTGAATTTGTTATTACCTAAAAATTTTAATCTTGTTTAAGACTTTAAAATGGTTTTAAACACCTTTAAATATTAATGGGCTAGTGAAAAAGACATTTAATTAGAATGATAGAATAATTATTAAGAAGTGAAAAAGTATGTTAAAAAAGAATTACAACGAAAAGCGGCATGTCAAGTTAAGAAAATGAAGTTGAGTTATAACGTTTTGACTAATAATTAGGAAGGATTGAGTCTTAAGTTTTATAAAATTTTATAATGCAAATAAGAAAAATTTGCAATTGCCTCCATCTAAAAACTTAAATTTGGATAGGAATAGAATAACTTCCTTTTCCATTTTAGAATAATATTATGAAATTTCATAACATTTTTAGGAAAGGCAATTTGTGAGTCAGCATTAATTTATTTTAATTATCTGGATTCTTAAAATGTTCTTTCCTCAATGATAATTGATTAATTGAATCAATCATTTATATTTATAGAAAAAATAGATTATAAGAAAATCCTGAATTTTTGAGAATGTAGTTGGTAATGTACAAAAATTTCAATTCTTTGATTGGAATTTCTTTTCTGATTAGCCAAAAAACTAAAAAAATTGCATTCAACCTTTACATATTTATATATAACAAATTCATAGTTTATATCATGATTATTAAAGGAAATTTTTTAAATTCATTAAATAATATATTCTTTAATAATAATGAAAAATATTTCATAACTTTTTATTTTTTATTTCAATTTTATATTTCTTAGTTATTATTTTGAGAAATAATCTGCAATCATTATAAGTTATCTTTTTTACAAATAAATTAATCGAAAAAACTAATTCTAATCTTAGAATCTGATAAGTCTCTTTACTTTTATTGAAAAAAAATTCGAATTATTATGAGTTAGAGATTTGAATAATTCTCTAATTCGAATTATTAATGTTTGCTTAATACCTATATTCTATTTATGATCGTATTTTGCAAAGAGTAATATGAAATTATTTTCAATATGATGGTGGCTATTGAAAGGAATTGCTGTAATAACTTTAAAAAATCAAAAGAGCCTTGATTAAAGCTTGATAAAAGAGTGAAAGAATCAATAATAGCAAAGGGCTGAAGATTTAAAAAATGTTATAAAGATTTCAGTTAATGATTTTCAAATTTGAAAAGTAGAGATATTTAATTTTTTAGAGCAATCTCTTTTACCATCCGTCAACGTTGATAATAAATAACCCCACTAATAACATTAAAATAATTAAGAAATAATTATTGATTATAATTACTTTTTAATTAATATTTTATTACTGAAAAGAATAATTTGCATGTTTCTCGAATATTTTATTTATATAACTAATGCGGCGATATTATTTTAGGTAAGATATAATTAATTTTATATTAAAAACTAATAAGTTTTGAAGTCAATTTAAGAAACTTAGATTTGATAGTTATGTTAATGTTTAAATCAATGATATTTAATTCGGATCGTTCAATTAATTTAATCGAGAATGGTATTCATTTTCCTTATTCAATAGAACTTTTAAGCCCAATTAAGCATTAATCCTATATTATCATGGATTACGAAGATAAAAATTATTTATAACAAGATAAATTGAAGAATAATTTTAATTAAATAAAAAATTTATTGCCTTTATAATATTTTTTATGATAATAAATATGATGATAATATATTGATTAATTTACCAAAATCAAGTTATACAATTTTCGAATAAAATCTTCATATAATTGACACAATTTACAAATAATTTCTTTTTGAAATATTCAATAATTGAAAATAGGATTAAAAAAGAAATATTTTCAAATAAAAATAACTCAAGAAAAGAAAAGAATGGAACAATCCTATTTTTGCTCTTAAACAATCATAAGTTATTGATGAATTGTGACTTTTAACCATAATTAAAAACAAATATAAAAACCTGTTGTATAATATTGTTTGTTATTTACTATATATAAATATCTATATTTCTATTTAATGTTTATTGATTTTTCAAGGAACTAAAAACCTTAATTCATTATTAAATTCCAATTTTCTCTTTATTTTATAAGAGATCTAAGTTCATTATTTACTTTAACACTTTCATATTGCATTATATATAAATAATCTAAATTATAATAATATATTTTGAATACTTAATTCACTCTTATAATTTTTAGACAAGTTAAAAATTCTAATTCACTTTTATATATAGATAAATTGATTATTACATTAGTATATGGTAGTCAAATTATTTTTTGCCATCCTAATTAATTAAAAATTTTATTATCTTAATTTCGAGATAATGGCTATTGAATAAATACTAAAAAGTACGATTTAAGCTTCTAATTAATGAATTTATTATTATATCGATTATAATTCATTTAATTAAGGTCATTAATACTAATGTTATTCAAATGAAAACTTTTGTAAATGAGTCACTAAATCTTTTTTATGTATAACTGCCATTTTTTGCTCTAGAGTTTATTAATTAATTATGAAAGCAACAATTTTTAATGAGTTGTTGGATTAAATTGTTAATGAAGTTTTACAAGTCCATCTTCCTAAATTACTACTAATGATCAAAAATGATGAGTATTTTTCCTCATAAAGAATAATCCTCTATAAAAAAAGCTTATGTCAAAAATAAATTATCAATAACTTAATTTAATTAAGAGGTGGGGGTTGTGGGACATCTAGAAAATAAAGAATTATTGATACAGTGATATAAAAAGACCAAAAAAATTTAGAGATCTCCTTCTAATTGCCTGAAAATTTTCTGAAAGAGAATACTTGAATTTTTTTTGTATAGATAAAGAAGAAACAAGCAAAATATATGAGCTTATTTAATAGAATTTTGAAAGCTTATTAACTGTCCTTACAACTTATTTAAGAGGTTCTGGGTCTATATGTTATTAAGTTTTATAAATTTGTAAAGAATTATTGAGGATTCTTTTTACATTCTAATTAAACAATCCTAAAAGATTTTTTGAAGAAGCTGTTAAATAGGATTACTTATAAAATTTAGCAGAATTTAACACTTAATTAGAAATTGAATAAGCCAATGTTTGGAAGACAGGAATTGAATTTGAGATAACAATGATGAAAATTATGATTATGAATTCAAAATCTAATTCTACATAAGGAAGAGATTTATTAATTAATTTCTTTTCCGAAACAGCCAAATCAATAGCATCATTATCACCTTCTGAAAACTTACTTAAAAGTATCATAGAAGGTGGACAATATCTTTTAAAAAAAGGAATAGAAAAAAAATTATATCCACAAGAAACTTATTAAACGTATTACTTATTCCAGTTAATAAAATGGTCAATTATCAGATAATTAAAATCAAAATAGTCAGTTTATAAATAAATATAGTTCTTGAAGGATATTTTTTAATA